GGTTAGAAAAATGGTTGTTTGTCATTTGTGGGGCAATACTGGTGGGTTGAAAGAATTTATCTGCAGAACGGTGATGTAGTACTACCAAACTTGATGCGTTTGAAGCCTGGTTAAAATTTTTCGCTGTTATCTCCGAATATTCAGGGATAGTAACAGATTTAGTTATTAAGCATCGAAGAGACACCGTCGCGAGCTTCGATAATATTTGACACCATGGATCCTATCGTGCACCAAAGTTTAGTAAGAATATCAGGTTATTATGAGATGGTGGGGCTGAGAATTGAAGCTTCGACTGCATGAGCACGCAGCTGATCGTAGAGATCTTGATTCCTGTCACTACTTTATCTAATTCGTCGAGGTTGGCTTTATAGGTTCTGGTAACAAAACATGCTACCATATCTACAAGAATACTTTACATCCAAGGTGTTCTCATAATTGAGTCACCTAAATTAATTGCATTGGCAAGTTATCTCACGTGACAAAGGGGCTAAGAAGGCGTGGGGTTTCCTAAATCGATCAAAGAGAAAAAAGTTAACAACGTTTCGTCCGAGAAACAAATAAACGAATGATAAGAGCTCATTTGAGTTTGTCATGATAAGTGACTTCTGGTGTCTTGTGGACAACAGCAGAAATTCTGAAAGCAAAGTTACTGTTGTTTGCTTGCTAATGTCCATAGTTGGAATTTGAATTCTGATAATATGAACTAGAGAACTGCATTGGTGGCAACGGAGTGTCTGCGGAAATTGTGCTGTCTGGGCTAAAAGACAGCAAGATAGCAAACCATCAGATCTGAATACGCACACAGAGTAGGTTTCCTCGAAAATCTGCTGCAGATAAAGTGCAGGAAAACAATGCCATCGTAAATCTTTCGTTGATACCACTCCTAATTGGATGCTTCAATCTCTACCACAAAGTCTGCTCCTAATGAAGGCCTTCACCACTTCACCACTTCACACAAGCTCAAGCAAACGTCACAGAGACCAATTTCTCACCGAAAAGGCTCTGAAAAATCGTTGTCCTGCAAACTTTATGCAAACTCCAGAGTAAGTGACACCAACTGGTGAAGCACAAACAATCAGGTTCTTTCCCATGAGAGAAACTTTAAGGATGGTTAAAGCACAACACAGGGTGTGAAGATGTTCAAGCTGGATTACAATCCAGAGTACATTCCTCGAGTCTTGTAGATTGAATTTATTCCCACTGGCATACTCTTCAGATGTGTGTGTTCTCCTCTGTTTGTGAGGGTGATGTCATGTGGAACGGTGGGCTGGGATGCCTCTCTAGACATTTTTTCAGAGGTGCTTAGTTAGAAGTCAGGTGGATGAATGAAATCGTTGATCACTGGAGTTGGTCAATGAGCAAATGCATGGTGGTTGTGGTAGGAGTGAGAATCCATCCTCTTGCACACCTGGGGCACTAGGTAAAAAAATATTTGCCAGTGAAGCTCCACAACTGCATCAGTTCCACTATTTGGCCTCCAAACTCACCAGATCTGAAATCGAAGAGTTAGTGTAGATGGAGCCTTGTTGTGAGTGACACTTTTCGCCATGCCAATCTAATTGAAGTCAATCAAGAAATGGACAGAATTAGAGCACTTTTGAGACCTTCCCATAGAATGTGCGCAATCAAATCAGTTAGTTGGAGACTGTGCTGTGTGTGTGTGGGGGTGGGGTGGGGTGGGGTGGGGGGTTGATACGGGGACTGATTGAATCTGCAATTCCCACTACTGACTGTCACTTTAAGTAGTTGCCTTGTCTATCAACTTTCTTTTAGATCTATTCGAAACTACAATTATGATGAACTCGTTCTTTTTCTCATGAAGTTTCACATTCCTCTATTCCTCAATGTCAATTCACGTTGACGCAACAATCGAAATTTCTTCTATCTTGACCAAGTATTCAATCGGTGACAAATCGAAAGAGTATTTTACTCTTGAAAGCATTCATTTTCCGTTATTGAAACTTGGATCTTAGACAATGGTGATTGGAAACTTAGAATCCCTTAACTCAACTCTACAAGATAAGTTGTGAATTTATTTCTCGGTATGTAATCTTAATAAATAAAGGCACACAACAGGATACCTTAACATGAAGTGAACTGGCGTGGCCACCCACGTAAACAATCAACCGGTCCACAAGGTATGAGCATAATGGAAATGGTGGAAGTTAGATGATGTCATTTGGAAATTTCAATTCGCTTGAAAGACACATCGAAAACCAGTCCGAAATTGGTCCTAATGGCGTTTGAGAAGAGAAATAACTACCGCAAGAGAATTGGCAGTAATAAAGGATGAAAAGAAGAAATGCGAAGTGCATAAGCATTTAGGAGATTTCATCTGAACACAAGGTCATTTCAATGTAGTGTTCAGTGAAGGAGAGGGAAAGGTAATGTGTGGAAATGGAGCCCTAAAACCAAGATGTCAACATCGAATCAGATGTGGCTAAAGCCTAGTAGATCTAAGAGATTTCATTCATTGAAATACTACTGACTGGGTAGTTGAGATTTTGGTTTGGAGACATGTGATGAGAAAGAGGGTACAAATTAGTTTCCAAGAACTAAAGTTTGCATCAATTTACATTTAAGTCTCACATTTCACGCTTCACTTCAAGTAATTCTGGCTTCGGAAGAAGCTCCACAACCAGAGTGACAGAATATGAAAAATAACAATGTTAACATCTTCAACTGCTTTGCAGGGTCTTTAGTCCACTTGAAATTGAAAATTTTTCTGGCAAATTTTGTTATTCACACTAATATGTGAACTTCCATTTTTTTTTACTTTTTCGAAGCAATCTCAATCATTTTGAGGAAAACAGCAAATCCATGAAAGGAAGAGAATCGAAAAAGATACCTGGTTAAGCCATTTGTCATTAGAATTCCGAATGGCAGTATTTGCTTAATGGGGATTTCGTTATTCAAGTCCTGGATTGTAGCTGATGCTTATAAACTTGTTTGATTTGAGCAAAAAGGTCTGTTTATGTCACTTCAATGTACTCTTTTCAATATTGAGAAGACGAGATAAACCCACTCAGTATTCAGTAACCTAGATTCTTAATAAAGCAGAGATGATTTCCTAAATTTGAAGTAAGTGGATTTCAATTTGAATCTCTTCAAAAGTGTATTTTTCTACCTGAAACAATAACACGCAAGTAACAAAATTATAATTACTGAAGCAAAATCAATTAATTTAAGCTTACTTAAGTCCTACGATGAAACAGTTATACCTACCGTTAGATCATAGCACCCACTAAAATTTCATTATTCTTTTCAAATAACTATCAACATTTGTGAGAGTCATCTAATTAAGGTGTCGTTGCACAAATATTTTCTTTTATGTACTGCGCCATTGTGTCTGTTTCATGGATTATTATAAATAATGTAAGGTTCCTTTATTTCTTAATATATAGCGCGTACATATAGCCCTTAAGTGTTGCTTAATCATGCATTATAGTCTAGAAAATTAAAAAATTCGAACGACATTTTAACGCTTAAATACGACAGATTTACACTTCTGTTGTTAATTTTTATATAGGTTTATAATATTTTTATAAGTCTTCAAAAGGATGTGGATCGAGGTTAAAAGTAAAAAAATTTTGTAAATTGATAACCAAAATTTTTGGCAACGTTACTCGTGTTTAAAATTCTAACTGGTTAACTGGTTATTTCAGCACCGTAATAAATGTTCGTAGTGGATTGCTACACTGATAAACCAACTCTCTGTAACCTCTATAGCAAGTTCTCCAAGTTTTAGAGGCTCCCGAATTTAAACTATCGCAATGATATAGATGAGAAAGATGTATTGCGATCAAATCGTTTATTGGCATTAAGATCTCAGCAAACATGATTCGAAAACTGGTGCATCTAACATTATATTAACGTGCTTTACTAGCCAGATATAGGAGAAGTCCGTGAACGCACTCCGCTTCCTACAGAGTGTTCGGCCGTACAGTTCAACTGTGTTAAGAGAAGTCGATAGGATGTAACTTATAAATATATCTAAGCAATATCAAACTTCACACAAAACTTTAGGTCATAATATCATCGACAAGCTAAAATATGAAAAGTAATAACCATAAGTAAAAAATAACACCCAAAAATCGGACTCTACCTCTTAATAGATTACACTAGAAAAGATATTTTCAATAGAATGTCTTTTCATTCCCTAATAAATAACGTGAATTCGACATAAAAATCAAAAAGACAACGTTAAATGAAGTGGATAATTAGCTTAAGACATTGATGATTTCCAAATTGTTTGTACTGAGCTAGGCGTTTTTTAACCCTTTGTATTATAAATGTTTTTGAATTTATATCTGATAATTGAATAAACAAAATAGAATATTAGAGTCATGAAATTAGGTAGAAAATTGCCTTTAATTTAGTTAGTAATTTATGATCGCAAAAGCTATTGTGATCCGAGAAAGCAGCAAAATGGGCTTATACTTTTAACCGTAAGGTTATCAAAAATATTTAAAGCTGATATTTCTGTACCGTAAGAACTGAGTAAGCTCAAAACCCACCTTAATTAGTTCGTTTGAAATTATTTTTGTTAAAAATCGATCAATCGATTATAGAAGAGAACCTGTTATGTTCATTTTAATCGAAAGCTAAGCAATATCACATTTTAAACCTTCCAGTAATGGACAATAGTTTACTTTATAAAAAATTTTAAACCTACAAAAACAATTACATAAAATCATTATAATACCAAAAAGTACCTACGAGAAACAACTAGAATGTAAAATTGATTAAAAAAATTGAATAAACGGACACTTACTTAAATATCCGAATTTATTAATTTTTGGATGCAAAATTTAGTATTTCACAATTCAGTGAATATCGTTTTAGTTAAACCGTTGTAAATAAAAAATTATTAAATAATAAAATTAGATATAAATTATAAACCTCAAATACACATAAAACTATCATTGCAATAACCTGCTTTGTTTTAAATCGCGCCATACGGTCTCGGCACTATTTTGTGGCGTTCGCTCACGTTAAAAATGGTATGTTGCTTTTGCCCTATTTTAATTAATGCTTTATACTAGACTTGCCGTCCATTGGTAAACGTTTATAATCTGACTGGTGAATGCACCAAGACCACCGTCAAGATGCCTGCTGTTTTTAAGGCTCCTCTTCGTAGTGACGTCTTAAACTTTGTTCACGACAGCTTGCGCAAGAATTCTCGTCAGCCATATGCTGTAAGTGGTAAAGCCGGCGTCCAAGCTTCTGCTGCATCTTGGGGTACAGGTCGTGCCGTTGCTCGTATCCCACGTGTTCGTGGTGGTGGTACTCATCGTTCAGGCCAGGGTGCTTATGGAAATATGTGCCGTGGTGGTCATATGTATGCACCCACCAAAACGTACAGACGTTGGTATCGTCGAGTAAATGTACAGCAAAGACGATTTGCTATGTGTACCGCAATAGCTGCAACTGGCGTCCCCGCCTTGGTCATGGCTCGTGGTCATCGCGTTGATAGGGTCCCGGAGCTTCCATTGGTTCTCACAGATAATGTTGAGAAAATCTCCAAAACCAAGGATGCTGTCAGGGTCCTAAAAAAACTGAAGGCTTGGTCAGACATCCAAAAAGTCTACCAATCAAAACGCAATCGTGCTGGTCGAGGTAAAATGAGGAACCGACGTCATATCATGAAGCGTGGTCCCATCGTTATCTACAAAAAGGATGATGGTATTACTCGGGCTTTCCGCAATATCCCTGGAATCACTCTATTAAACGTCAAGTACTTAAATATTTTGAAGCTTGCCCCTGGTGGTCATATGGGACGATTCGCAATTTGGACTGAGGGTGCTTTCAGGTATCTTGACAAGCTCTATGGAACATGGAAGGAAGGTAGTCACATGAAGACTGATTTCCATCTTCCCTCATCCAAAATGACAAATACCGACCTGAATCGTCTGCTTACCTGTCAGGCAATTCGAAAAGTTCTTCGTCCAAGAAGGATGGGTCGGCAACGCAGACGGTCACACGTTAAAAAGAATCCTCTAAAGAATATGGCGGTACGCTTTTATTTGTTAATGGTAACTCTTTTTAGGCCCTAGTTAAGCTGAATCCCAATGCTGTCAATGAACGTAAATGCCGGGTTGGTCTTCAGAAAGCTGCTCTAAAGCGCAAGGCAGCCAAAGCAAATCCAGTTCCGACGAAACCTGACACTGAAGCCACTAATGAAGTTCAAGCATAAATAATTCAATAAATGTTATTAAATTTGGATTAGAGGTTCTCAGCTATTTCTATGCCCCTTTTTGGATGCTTAATTGACATTTACTTCATTTACTCGGTGGCCAACAATTAGCTTTGCAAAGGTTATAGAATTTATCTTATAATTAATAATGGGGATCTGCTTTTTGGCAAATTCCTTTAAAAACTATTAGGTTCTTGACATGCGTTAATCTGTATTTGGTCCATAATGGCAAGCGATTCGGTCAGTAACTTATTTTAAACAAGTTTGAGTCGATTTTTGGCTAGTTGAAGCTTAGTTGTGTGAATTATTTCCATTTTGAGGGTTGGGTCGGCTAATGCTTTATTATTGTTTAATTCTGTTTGCTGCTTGAATTTTATGAAGCCTTTAGTATACTGGAAAGATTTGCTGACCCTATCCGATCAATTATAGGGAGCACTTGTACCAGTCGTGGCGCTCTTGTTTTCAAGTCTGCACTTTAGAGACTGGGTGTGGTGGCAACTGCAATTGTAAGGCTATTTCTATACATTTCTGATGTTAGCAAGCAGGTGTCTTCTTCCTAATATTACTTTCCGAGAAGGAAGGCTTGTTGGGAACTACTGAAAAATGTTTCATTGGCGGTCTGCCGCCACAGACTTACAAATACCATCTACTGGTGTACTAATGATGCGGGTCAATATCTCTGGATGGGTTTGCTCAAATGCTAGTAAATAAAATAGGATGTTAATCATGATGTTAGAGCACATGGAGCTTCAGCAGAATTTTTGCGTATCTATAGCTCTTAGCGGTTTAAAAATCCTATTTTAAATGTATTTTTAATTAGTATTACTTAATAACCTGAGTAGTAAGTACTTCTATCTTCTCTTTAATTCACATGTCATGTTCACGAGTGTCTCTAAGTTTTATATTGGTTTAATATCTATGAGATCGTTAAAAGCAGATAATGATTTTTTGACTTATAAACTAATAAGTAGAGCAAGGTTGAAAAGATTTAGTTTTCAATTAGCATGTTTGTTTTTGATTTCGCAAGGCTATTAGATGCCTGAGTACCTTTTCTTTTCAGTGCTCTCCCTTTATCCCGTTTCCCATTGACCGCATAGACTACCATCATTTTCAAAAGTTGCCTCCATTCATTTTTCGATTTATAATTTTTTAATTGTCTGACAACTTAGGTCTTCTGATGAAATCCTAATGATGGAAAATTGAAGATTCTATCAACATCATTTTACAGTCGTTACTTATTAATTTAAGTAGCAAGAAAATCATTCTGTGTGACGTTAACAGATTTCAGTTCGGGTTGCTCACGAAACCTACTAATTCACTTTTTTATCAAAATTTCTAATATTACCTTGTGTCTATCAAGGAAAATGCGAAGGAACGCTGAATTTCTGATATTAGTCATCGCTGGAATGAGTCAAAATATTCGACTGGCTCAATAATATCCTTTACATTCTGTTAGAAGCAATAAGAATCCATATGCTGCATTGTTTTAACAGTTAAACTGTGGTTTTAGGTTATTGCTCATTACAAAACAGTCAAATTCATTTAGTGTATACATTTTGTTTATCGGTTAAACTTCGTTTTTTAACTGCTTGAAGTCCGAAATTGTTCTATCGCTTGATGTACCTTGGGTTGAATGGTTCTTGACAAATCATAAAGGTATTTCAATGAGGAGACGATAGAAAAGAATAGGGCAAATTAAAAGGCCTCATTACCTATATTTATTAACTAAAATCATCATCATATCTGGGAACAACAAAACAAAATTAAAGTTAATATGACTCCAAACATAGGCATGTCGAAATTTCATAGCTTAGAACTAAAAGTGAATTATTCCCCCTGTTTCTTTCTAATTTCATTTTTCTCACCGCGACAAATTTAGTGAGATCGCAATATCGTTTAAGCAATATTAGCATTTAAGCTTCATTAGACATAGATCAACAAAATATGCACTCGCTGGTGCCACAGTGGCCAACGTGCAGGTCTGTCATATCAGAAGTCACGAGTTTGATGATAACTGGTGCATATTCAGAGATTAAATGTATGCCTTCCATCAGAGCAGCTCAAGAACTTCCTACTATACACCAAGTTAACGATTATTAACGCTGCTCTTTATGTGCTTGTCGATTTTAAACGAATTGTGCTATCTATCATCAAACGGCATTTCTATGGGACTCCTTCAATTTTCCATTTAGTTAAAAGCAAAATCTTTTTAAGTTGATGGATTTCAATCATTTAATACCTAATCCAGACTTCCTTAATTGCTCACAAATCGACCAATCTTAGTTATTGGAGAAAGTGGACAGATTAGAATGTGGTTATTGAGGAAGTAATTATGAGTGATGTGTTTCTATATTCATAAAGAGGATTGGGTACAGAACAAAAAAATTCGAATGACTGTTTAGGCTTGACCAAGACGCACTTAACGAAAAAAAATAATAAGCCTATCAGTTTTACACAATAGACGAGTCCACAAATAGGAAAGAACGATTTAATCCCGAAGTATACTATCACAGTTAGTTAACCGATAGAATCGTCAGGTTATTTTCCGATTATCAATATTTTAACCCAAATTGACCCATAACTAACACTTACCTTTTGTCGTTACCAAATTTAGGGTAAATAGTCCACCTCGATCAATACAAATTTCGACTATATTTTACACTTCCGGTAAGTCCATGTTGTGTAAACTCGAAGAGACTTGTTGCAAAGTTAGTTGAAATTTATTCGTTCAACATGATCCGCAAGGGCGAATTTATAATGATCTGAGATACTGGAAATCCTGGTACCATTTGAGTGAATGGATCAAAATGAAATTCGATAGAAATGGAAATATACTACTGTTAAAGAGTTCTGCTCAATGTAACAGTCAGTGGTGGCCATTAAAGCCCCAATCAGTCCCTGGGTCTAACCCTCTCCCCCCCCCCCACAATCTCCAGCAAACTGATTTGATTCGGCACTTCCTATGGGAAGTTCTCCTAACGTGCTCCAAGTCAGCTCGTTACTTGGTTGGTTTCTGCTGAAGTGGCATGGCGCATAATGTCATTCTCCTCGGTGCTCCATGAGCACCAAAGCCTCGAATTTATATCTTGTGAATTTGGAACTGATGGAGTCATTTAATGAGTGTCAGACTTGGCGGTGATTCATTTCTATTGCCCATTGCTACAAGGTTTGGTCAGGCCCCGTTACTATTTAAGCTAGACGTGAGCTAATATCGGAGAAACTATTGATAATATTGTAAGAATGGCTTGAAAGTAAAGTGCTGTTGAAGTGACATTGATTTTACACTTCTAGTGCACCTCACCAAATGGGCTTCATACGTTAGGAAATGGAAAATAGAATCAAAAAGACGTAGATAATTAAGCTGTCCATAGTCTATTAAGGAATATGATCCACCGCATATATTGGAGGTCACTGAGCAGTTCATTAAAATTTGTGGGTGGTCATTTCATCTTCTTAAAGCCAAGGCCAGGGAGATGAGAATTAAAGTGGTTTCTAACATAACATCGGAGCAATCGCACTTCAATACATACAAGTGATACAATTGGTTATTATTAATTCGGTTGAACGTATTTCCTTATTTAATCATATTTTAAGCACGCAGCTAGTTTAGGTTAAGGAAAAACAACGTGCGAAAATAAATTTGATGAGGTATATGCATAAGACCCGTGAAATTAAATCTATACTTTTCAATGACGCCTCGAGACTGTAAATCAGTTAATGTGCTTGAAAAAGTAAAGAGTCACACCTGCACTTCAAGACGTCTAGTAAGGCAAGCATAATTAGATCGAGAAGGGTGTAAGAAATGCTTGGTTAAATTAAGTGATTAATCATTAGCACAAACCACGAGCTTTATTTGTTGTCCAGATTCAAGGACGCACAAATAAGAGATTGTTCGAAAAGTGCACATAACAATGCCCCAATTAGTGGACACTTGATTTTATCATCTTGAAATATCAATAAGAAAGTAAAAGCATGAATCTCTTTCGCTTTAAGGTGTAGTATTTTGTTTCTGATTTATTGATTAAATCCAACCTGTGTTTCCCTGAGCGCCTGTCACTGCAAACGCTGAAGTTTGACAAATTGGTATTTGCATACCAGTTCACCCCAAGGTTACTTAAATAAACACTCAGGTTTCTATATTGTTTAACTAGGGTTAGCAAATGAAAGAGATTACGAATGAAAATACAAATGAAAACGAGTTTTTTTGACCAAGGAGAATAAAAATTGTGACATAAAGAACTGTTTTTTCAGAAAATAGAAAGTTGTACAAGACAGTGGGAAAAGAAAATAAGATTTGAGTTGATATCCAATTTGGGATCTGTAGTGGGATCATGAGTATGCAAAAAGAAGAGGAAAATAACAACAAAATAACCACCCAAAAATACAAAATAAATATTACTAAAAGAGATGAAATAAATTTCGCCATCGTTTGGATACGATTGCCGATAAATTTATCCTATAAACTGAAATTAATTTTAAGGAAACGTTTAGTCATCAATCGATGACAGCGTTTTCCATCACCCCTGTCGTGATTCATGGTCGACACGGCAACAATTTGTCAACCGGACTGTGTGATCACCTCTTGAAACGAATCTGCTCACCTCGTAACAAACCAAACGAATCGATCTCTACTTAACAAATACCTTCGAAAGTTAACATACATCTATTACTATCTATCTTACTAAGGTCACTCAGTGAGGAATAGTATGTTTATCGAGATTTGAGACACCGGTCCGAAAGGGCGTGGATTCGAATCCCACAGTTGCCAAATGTGTGTGTGCTTTGGGGTGCGCAATAGACTTACCTCCACGTGGTGCACGGCAAAAAAGTCTATTGGTCGGCGGTTGACTTCTGACTTCAAACTACTATGGCCCGACTATTTGTCATATTCAACCCCTTCCAAAGTACTCATCTTACCTTTTTTATGCCTTTGTGTCTGTCTGCCTCTTTTACGTCTGTGAATCACTCTTCTGTTCTCCCTCTCGACTTTTTGTCACTTT